TCATGAAACAATTGGGATGTATTTCTTCTTTTTCTATTCTCTGGAAGAATTCTTGTAAAATTCATATGATTTCTTCCTTAAATGTTTAGTAGAGTTCTCTGGTGGAGTCATTTGCCCCTTTGGACCTGAGCCTTTTTTTTTTTCTGTAGGAAGGTTTTAAATTATAGATTCAATTCTTTTTGTTTTTAATTGAAGTATAATTGACATATAACATTATGTTAGTTTCAGGTGTACAGTATAGTGATTTGATATTTGTATGTATTGTGAAATGATCACCACAACCAGTCTAGTCACCACCTGTCATCATACATGGTTACAAAACTTTTTTTCTTGTAATGAGAACTTTTAAGATTTACTCTCTTAGCAGCTTTCAAATATGCAATACAGTATTATTGACTATAGTCACCAGGTGTACATTATGTCCTAGAACTTAGTTATTTATAACTGGAAGTCTGAGCCTGACTCCCTTCATCCATTTCACTCACTCCCCACCCCCACGCCTGGCAACCACCAATCTCTTCTCTGTACCTATGAGTTATGTTTCGTTTTTTTTTTTTTGTTTTAGATTCCACATATAAGTGAGATCATACAGTACTTGTCTTTCTCTGTCTGACTTATTTCACTTGGCATAATGCCCTTGAGGTCTATCCATGTGGTAACAAATGGCAAGATTCCCTTCTTTTTTATGGCTGAGTAATATTCCATTGTACGTATATACAACATTTCATCCATTCATCATAAGATCCGCATTATTTGATGTTAATATAGTCACACCTATTTTTTTTAGCATTTTTGTTGCAAGTCTTTTCACTCTTTTATTTTTAACCTTCCTATAACCTTGTATGTAGGATGCAGTTCTTATAAATGGTACTGTATAGATATAGACATAAATAAAATCCAGTGTAACAATCTTGTGTTTTAATTGGGGTATTTAGTCCATTTATATTTAGTTCAATTACCGAAAAATTTGCATTAAGTCTACCATTTGTTCAGTGCTTTCTGTTTTCCTGCTTGCTCTGTGCTGTTTCTCTCTTCTCTCTTATTTTGTATTGATTAATTATTCTCATTAGTTCATCTTCCTCTGTGCCAGTTTGGAAGTTTATTCAGCTTCTGGAATCCATGGCTTGTGTTTGAGAATCAGTCCCGGGAAGCTCTCAGCTGTTGCTTCTTCAGGTGTCGCTTCAGTCCGCTCTCTCTCCTGCTGCAGCTTCCATCACCCCTGTGACAGGTCTGCTCAGATTGTCTTCCCTCTCTTTCATCCTCTTGTCTGTTTTTCCTTTTTATACTTTATTCTGGATATTTTGATATGGTCTATCTTCCAGTTCATGAATTTCCTCTTTAGCTGTGTCTAACCTATCATTAAATCCATTCATTGAGGGCCCGGCCCTGTGGCTGAGTGGTTAAGTTCACACATTCTGCTTTGGTGGCCCGGGGTTCACTGGTTTGGATCCTGAGCATGGACCTAGCGCAACTCATCAAGCCATGCTGAGGCTGCATCTGACATAGCACAACCAGGGGCACTCACAACTAGAATATACTAGAATATACAACTGTGTACTGGGGCGTATGTATGGGGAGAAGAAAAAAAAGAGAGAGATTGGCAACAGATGTTAGCTCAGGGCTAATCTTCCTCACCAAAACGTACACTTAAAAAATACCAGTCCATTCATTGAGTCCATTCTTTCAGGTTTTTTCCCAGGTCTAGAGTTTGTTTATGTTAAGTTTCTTAATGGTTTCTGATTCTCTGTCAGAATTCTCAGCCTGGCCCCTTCTGTCCCCGAGTGGTGAGCCAGTCAAGCGTGGCGATGTTGACGCGTGTGTCTGAGTGCTCCCTCAGGGGCAGCCCTGTGCGTCTTTTTCTTTTCTCTTTTGCTTCTGCTGGTTTTTATTTATGCAGCATTTTTCCTTTGGGTGCCTAGATATTTAAAAGAGTGTGCCAGCTACTGTGTTTGCGAATATTCTTGGACGTAACTGAGGACTAGGGAAAGCTCACCTTCACCCAGAGAGGATTTTAGTTTCCTCCTTTGGCACTGTTTGTGCTAAATATTTTAAAGTAAATTCCAGACATAACTACAAAAAGTAAATTATGTGGTATACTAGAGATTGGTAGAAAAATTGATAGAGATTGGAGGAAAATAAAGCACGCTAGGGGATGGGGCGCCCGGGGTGAGGGTGTGTATATGACAATGAGGGAGGGGCTCCCAGAGGTAACATCTGGCCAGTTTCTGTGAGGAGGTGAAGGGGTGACCCTGCAGACACTTGGGGAAGTGCATGCCTGGCAGAGGGACAGCAGGTGTAGGGGCCTGGAGGAGGTGTGTCTGGCATGGAGAGGGCACGAAGGCCAGAGTGAGTGGATGTGAGAGCAGAAGATGGTGTCAGAGTGGTCGCAGGAGCTTGCCTGACGTTGGACAGCTCGCCTGTAAAATGGGTGTCCGTACGAGTTTCCTACAGCTTCCATGACAAACTATCACAAACTGGATGGTTTTAAACAGTAGAAATGGCTTCTTTGACAGTTCCTGAGGCTGGGAGTCTGAAATCAAGGCGTCAGCAGGACCACGAGGCAGGGTTGGTTCCTTCTGGAAGCCCTTGGAAAGACTCTGTCCCATGGCTTCTCCTGGCCTCCGGGGCTGCCAGCAATCCTTGGTGTCCGTTGGTCTGTGGACACATCACTGCAGCCTCTGCGTCTGCTGTTACCTGGTCTTCTCCCCTGTGCCTCTGCGTGTCCGTGTCTAAATTTCTCTCTTTCCATAGACATCAATCATCTTGTGTTACATCTGCAAATATGTAGTACAATTTCTAAATAGGGCCACATTCACCGGTGCCTGGAGTTAGGGCTTCAACGTATCTTTTCGGGGGACACAGTTCAACCCACAACAGTGTCCTCTGAGCTGGTCTTATAACCATAAATGTCAGTGCAGTTACCGGACAGACGTGGTGTCTCCCTGGCAGCCAGGTAGTTCTTCCTGGTTAGTCTGGGCTGATTCACACGAAGGGCTCAGGTGTTGAGCGGAGCCCTGGGCCCCCCAGCCCACTTCCTCCCAGCTCTGGAGTGTCTGGGCTATTTCTCAGGCTGGGCTGCCACTATGCCTATTGCAGGTTTAAGGACTGAAATCCACGCAGCATGTTTTTTGGTTCTCACTGTGTGCCACTCATGAATGATTTCTGCCAACAACAAACGCAGGCCTGGGCGGCTCAGGGCCTGACTTTGAGGAAGGGAGGTCAGGGCCTCAGTGGGACCTGCTTCTGGGAGAAGAGGGGCTGAGATGAAGCCTCCAGTGCGTGTGCGCCTGTGTGCACATGCATACATGTGTGTGTATGCACGTGTTCCTGTGTGCATGTGCATACATGCATGTGTGTGCACATGTGCCTGTGTGTGCCTCTGTGTGTGTTTGCATGTGCCTGCACGTGCCAGGCTCTCCCATGGAGGCTTGTCCCTTATGTGTCTCTGTGAGCGTGTGTGTGGACACATGTGTGCTTGCACAGGAGTGTCCAGACACAGGTGTTTGTACATGCTTGCACCTGAGTGTGTGTGTGTCAGCCTGCCCCTCTGCCCCTCCTCCCTGGGGTTGCAGGTCTCTGGTGGGGACCCCTGTCTCCCACCCCCAGGGCTGCTGGACGCCTGGTCTCCGTGCTGTGCAGCTGGGGGTCCCGGGCTCTTCTGCCCACAGGCTTTTCAGGTAAGCACCCCTGTGGCCTGTGCCTGACCCTCCCTGCTGGACAAGCCACAGCCCCCTGGTCACCCACTTGAGACCCTGGCTCCCTGTCTAGTTGTCCCCACAACCTGGGACCCCCCCCTCCTAAATCTTATTATTTCTTGAATCCACTTCTGCCCTCCATCCTTGCTCCTTCCCTGCACAGCCCCTGGACCCTGCCGTGCAGCCTGTCAGCTCTCCGTGCCCCCGGGCACAGCCTTGCAGGCCTTCTCCCGCTGGCCACAGGAAGCGAGGCCTCTCTGGCCAGTAGGGGGTGCAGTCCATTCCCAGGGGGCTTCCGTTCCATTTCCTTTTCTGTTCCTTGGCCACAAGCTTGCTCTGACACAAACGTGTTTCTTCCTTCTGGATCTAAGTGAGTGAGACGTACCTTCAGGGGCCACAGACACCTGCTCCTATGAGGTACGTGTGCCCTGGGAGCCTGGGCCACATGGGCCTGACCTGCAGGGCTGCCCCCACAAGAGCCATGTGGGCGAGTCGCCAGAGCCGTGAGTGTGGATAAGTAATCTGCTGGTAGTAACTGTGAAAGTATGAATATTTATGCACACTTAAAGATAGAGTGAATTTAAAACAATGTTACTGTCCTGGGGAGGGAGGGGAGGATGTGGCAGTGGCCTCCTCAGCGCCAGGTGGCTCCATGGGACATCCCTAGACGAGGGAAAGGCCCGTGGCCAGCACTGGCCTGGGCCCACGAGAGCAGGACACAGTGGAGCCGATGCCCGCCAGCCCAGGTCCTGTGTTTTATGCAGCAGCCCAGTGAGGCGGGACTGGGGGCAGCAGAGAGGCTGGGGCGTGGGCCACGCCTGGCTTGCGGAGGAGGGTGGGATCCATTACGGGGGGACCCCCTCCGTCGCCACACCTCTCCTGCCATCTTCCCCACCTGGAGTGAACCTGCCATTCCACATCCTTCTTATTCCACGTGGATGCTCCTACACTGTGGTCATGCTGTGTATCTATACTGTCAAAACATTACATACAAATGGAATTTTTCACAACACTGTTGCCAAGTGGACTCAGGAGGCTGAATCAAGATTGAAGCACGCCAGGTTTAATATTTGCTGTTGAATTTCTTTGGTTTGAATGGTGAGGCGCACTCTGTTCTGCCAGGGTGCCGAGGGCAGGGAGGGTGGTGGACCCCCCTGGGAGGGTCCAGGGAAAAGCAGCCTGGCCGGCTCCCTGGCCCCACCCTGGGTCCCAGGGCATAGAAGGGGGCCAGGTGCCAAGGTGGGCCCGCCACCCATCGAGGGCAAGAGACACACGTGGATGCTATTAATCAGCCTCACAAAGGGCGACAATGCAAAATACTGTATTTCGTTGACAGTTCTGCATCTACAGCGTGTACACAGCACAGCCTTGGTCTCTGGTTCATGTTGGCTACGGAAGCAGGTGAACAGGTCGGGCAGTGAAGGCGAAAGGAACCGCCGGCGGTCATCCGGTTACTCTGTGAGGTTGCCTCTGGGTGACCTGTGAGGACACACGGGGTCCGTGGCAGGTACAGCACACCACGGTATGTTAGAACGTCACTATCAGGTTTCCAAGAATCCTGGGAACTGAGGCTCTGCGTGCTCAGATGCTGAGCGTCGGACTCTGGGACACCCCGACGCAATCCCCACTCCTCCCAGGTATGTGTCAGGAAGGGTCTGCTCCGGGTGCAGGCCCCCCGCCCAGACGGCAGAGCACAGTGGAGAGCCATGGTGATGATGTCTGTGCAGTGCAGTGAAAACTCAGTGCTCGGACGGCTGGAAAACACACCACCTGCATGTGCACGATGTACTGTGTATGCTCATGTGTGGTGTATGTGCTGTGTGCACTGCATGTGCGTGCACTGTGGTGTATTGCTGCATGCACTGCATGTGTATGCATGCATGCACATGTATATGGTGTTGTATTGTGCATGTGTAGAGTGTGTACACACGATGCACACATGCATATAGACGGCATGTGCACACGTAGTGTGAGCATGGACAAGGGCACGTGTGTGCATGTGTGTGTGTGTACATGTATCTGCACGTGTGCCACAGACCTGGAGGAGGAAGGGAGGGCGGAACCACTGTGCTCAGCCTCACACGCACGTCCCTCTGAATGTTCAGGCTTTCTGCCTCTGTGGGGACCCACGGACCCCTCTGTGGGATGGGCCTCCTGCTTCTGCAGAAGTCCCACTGGAATCAACATCTGTCTTCCAAGTCAAGACTTCATATCCAGATGTTCTTGGAAAGGCCAGCTCCTCTTCTTTTTGGAGCAGGGAGCTTTATTCTTCCCAAACGTGCACGTTGGGGCTGCATCCAGTCCTGGCGGCAGCTGGCTTTGGAAGTCAAGTCTCCGTTGAAGGACACGTGGGCATTTCCAAAGGCACAGGCTGCTCCCTCTGCCCACATGCCCCCGAGGGCAGCTGGGTGACCCAAGATCGGTGACACTCTCAGGCCTCGGGGGCTGGGGCTGCATCCAGGATGGGGCTGAAGGTGGAGGCGGTGCCGGGCAGAGATGCCGACATGGTTCCTGTGACTCAGACATGGGAACAGCAGAGGGGCCTCAGCAACTGCTCAGGTCCAGGCTGCCGGCCCCTTGGAACAAAGCTTAACAGAACACACATTAAATGCTAGGGGATACCAGGGGTGCCTCCTGCCATGGCCAGGCCCACCGCAGCCAGGCAGGCAGGGCTGCCAGGAACCACGCGGGGCCTGAGGCGTTTCCTCTGATAGAACCTCGCTCCGTCTCTGGGCTGCCTGGACACTGGGTGCTGCAGGACTGTGGATGTGGATGGCCCAGCTGACCTCAGATTAGCTGAGGCAGACATGGCCCAAAGCGTCTTCCTGTTCGGTCCTTCACAACAAAGGGTCAGTGGGGGTTCCGGCCCCTTTAGAGAGGTTTGGTCACTTGGTGACCCCCCCGCCGACCTCCCACGGCAGAGGGCCCCACTCTGCTCTGACTTGTCCAGGGCACGGTGGTGAGTGGCCGTGTGGGCACAGGCATGGTGACGCAAGGCCTGGCTACACAGTTGTCTCATTCTTCCAGGGCCCCGTCCGGATGTTGCCTGTGCCATCGGTGCTGTAGGGCACAGCCTCGTGCATGTCACCCTTGAGCAGCCCGTTCTGGCCGGGGCTGCCAAAGGGCAGGGACTGTGTCCTCCGGAGCATCTCGAAGTGGGCCGGGCCATGGGCCACCTCCCTGCCTGGCCGTGGGGGGCAGCCGAAGAGCGTGGGGCTGGCGTCGCCACCCTCGGGCTGGCTGACCAAGGGGAAGGGGTCACCCTGGGAGCAGCAGGCCATCGTGTGCGACCCCACTGGGCCCTCAAGTGAGCTGGGGGGGCTGTCCGTGCGTGAGCTGTGGGGGCTGCCGTCCAGACTGGACGGGATGTGGTAGGCGCACTCCTGCTCAGCCGCGGCCGCCCCGAGCCGTCTGAAGTAGTGAGGCTTAGTTCTGCCCTGGAGGCACCTGTGCAGGTGCGGGTCAGGCCCGCAGGCACCCTCCTCGTGGACGTGGATGTGGGCTGCGTCCTCCATCAGCTGCTCACAGTGCATCTTGGAGCAGCAGGGCGTGGCTGGTGACAGGCAGCTGACATGGCTCTGGGCAGCCTGCAGGTTGGTCATCTTGCAGTGGCCGGCGGGCAGGTGGCCGAAGGACCGCGGCTTGCCAGGACATGGTGAGTCCTGCAGGCAGGCCGCGTGCCCCAGTGCGTCCCCGTTGGCGTCAAGAGCAGGGTGGGTGCTGAGCTTTGTGGCATGGGCGTCCCCGCGGGAGGGGCAGCAGGACCACCAGCAGTGCCACACGTCGTCCCGCTTGGCGCAGTGGTGGATGAGCACGAAGAGCCCCAGTGTCACACAGAAGGCGCCGTACAGGCAGCTGAAGACCATGTCCAGGAAGTGGCCCTGCGACACGGCCAGCGCCCCGAAGGTCCACGTGGCCATGAACAGGAACAGTGTGAAGGCGGCAGCCCGCAGCTGGGCCTTGAAAGAGTGCTCGTTCTGCAGCAGTGAGGTGGCCAGGGCGTCACAGGTGGGAGGGGTGACCCGCGGGGCCCTGGGGCTGTGGCCGGCCTCAGGCCCCGCCAGCCGCTGCTGCTCCTCCGTCCGTTCCCTGAGCTCGTACCTGCGTTCCGGGTGGCGCCGTAGCTGGACGTAGGTGCCAAGGAAGTACACGCAGGTGACCAGGGCGATGAAGGCAGCTGGCCCATAGAAGGCCCCCAGGCTGGGCTCCCAGGCCATCCAGCAGCTGTGGGAGGACAGCAGGTCAGGGAGGGGCTGCTGGGGGTCTCTGTTCCCCTGAGCTCACTGGGACAAGGATGTCTCCTGCTGCGGGTGAGTGAATTGTGTGCTCAGGAAACAGACACGGGCCCAGTGGGACGTGGGATGGAACCTGCAGTGCCAGGCTCATGAGAGCGTGGATGGGTTGGGGGTGTGAGGGGCACAGGCGGGAGCCAGGCTGCTGTCCGAGCCGTCTGCCCGCCCGTCTCTGGTGCTGCCTCTTCTCCCTCCTCAGTAGCACTGGACCTGGGTGCCCAGTGTCCCGGAGAGAACAGGGCCAGGTGTCCCACAGGGCTGGCCTTTTAGAGGTGACTGAGGAGGAGGAGGAGCCAGGGAGGGCACTGGGCTAGGGGCACGGCTGGGCTCTGCCCTCTGAGCTGCCTCGGCGCTGCTGCCCAGTAGTCGCTTGTCCCTCAGGCCCTTCCCATCTCAGAAGAACCAGCCCACGAGCCCGAGGAAGAGGTGGGTGGGAAACTGAGTCTGTTGGGGGGACGTGAGGTGTGGGCCACCAACTTTTGTCCACTGTCACCACATGGACACCTGGTATGGTCATTGGTGGTGTCCAGGGCCTGTTTCAGTCTATCGTCTATGAGTGGCCATGAGGGGCGGGGGTGGCCCCGCTGGACGCCTCCTGCCGTGAGTGGCCTGGGTGTGGGGAGGCGCTCCTGGGCAGGAGCGTCAGGCCCGGTGCCACCCTCCACCCCCTTGACACCCGGTACTCACTATGCTGAGTCCTCATCCTCCGTCCCATAATTCCCGATGTTTGTGGCGGCTGTGACCCCACAGATGATGAAGGGAACCCCTCCGCTGATGAGGTAGAACCTGAGGGAGCACAGGGCCCACTCACTGCCCCTTGAAACCCACCTGGGACCCCCAGGGACAGCACCGTCTTTCTAGCTCTCCTCAAGGCCGAGGAGGGTCGGGAGGAGAGGCTGCCCGGGCCAGGCCGCTCCTCTCCGCCTCCTCTCCTCTTGCCCTCCACCCCTGCCCTTCATCTTCCTTCTCCTCCCCTCCCTCCACCCTTTGCCCTCCCTCCACTCCTCCACTCCTCCCTCCCCTCTCCCCACCTTCTCTCTTCTCACCCTCCTCTCCCCCCTCCCCTCCCCTCGTCTCCCCTCGCCCCAGCTCGCTGGCTCCTGCACCTGTGCAGAGATGACCATGGGCAGATCCAGCACACAGGGGGCAGGGGAGGCCCTGGGCTCATGTAGCAGAAATAACCAGAACAATATGAAGCCCCTGGACAGAAGTGGGACCCTAGTGGGCAGGGCTCTGTGTCTCATGGGGGACTGTATGGGACCCTAGCGACATCCAGGCTCCCTTCAGGTGGAAGCACTCATCCCACCAGGCACAGGTGGCTCTTAGCTGAGTTCCCCTCTGGGAACAGCCCTCCGCCAGGGCCTGGGTCACACTCCTTCTGGCAGGCAGGTGGCATCCGGTGAGCAGCCAGTACACATGCTTTAGGCCAGCCTGCCTGATAACCTCAGAGTGGAAAGCTCAGGGTGGCTGTCCCAGGCCCTTCTTGGGCCCTCGAGCCTTCGTGCACTGCCTGGCAGTCCAGCTTCTCAGCTGCTCGGGGCAAATTCTGACATTCGACCCTTCCCCAGGAAGACAGTGATTCATCTGGACAGGAGCTGGCCCTGCTCTGGGCACAGGCTGACTTTCCTGTCCAAGAGGCCTCAGCCGACAGATCCATCCGAGGGCGTTCTGTTGCCCCACCACTGACACAGGATCTGAGGGACGTGAAGACCAGGAACCACCAAGCACGTATGCCCTGGGCACCTGGCTACAGAGCATGGTGGTCATCACAGGCAGTGACGGGTGGTGAGTGATGGTCAGCCTCCGGGTGGCGACTAAGGGGCCACTGAGAGACCACCACCCATGAGAGAGGCGCTGTCCTCCAGTCAGTGCAATGGCACTACGTCCCTCGAGGGGAAGAACAGGGGTCCCAGGTCCACAGGCGGGAGCAGGGTGACCCTGCCTAGGGTCCCTCACGACGACCCCTGGGGATTCTATATCTCGAGAGCAGATACTTCTGAATGAAGGGTAAATAAAGACATATTCTGACAAGAATAAAACAAAGAGAATTTGTCGTCAGCTGACCTGCACTTCAAGAAATGCCAAACGAAATCCTTGAGGTTGAAGGAATGTTGTACCAGATGGAAACTTGGAGGAATGAAGAGCATCAGAAATGCTAAATATAAGGTAAATATAAAAGATCTTGTTTCCTCTTAATTTCTTTAATATATATGTGACTGTTTAAAGAAAGAATTTAATGCCTGTGGAGTGTTAATGAATGAGGGTGAAATATGCGGCGCCTGAAGCATAAAGGTGGGGGGAGATGGTCCCATACAGTTGTAAGGTTTCTAATATATTCTATTTATTTATTTATTTATTTATTTATTTAGTGAGGATTGGCCCTGAGCTAACATCTGTTGCCAATTCTAATATATTTTACATGAAATAGTACAATCTTCACACTAAACGGACTGTGCAAAAGCTGTGTATTTCAATCCCTAAAGGAACCACAAAAAGTCAATAGACAGAAAGCTCATCGATAAATTCAGAAGAAATTTTAAAAAACATTAAAATAATCCAAAAGAAGGAAGTAAAAGATGTAAGGAGGAACAGAAGAAAAATAAAAAAGACAGAAGGAAGTAAAAACAGAAAACAAAGAGCAACATGAAGAGCCAGAGTCACCCAGTCAAAATTCTCTACATTCTAATGGGCTAAACACTCCAGCGCACAGGCAGTGGTCGTCCAAATAGATTAACGACAAGAAAGCAGGGCCCAATTACACACTGTCTGCAAGAGAAGCATTTTAAGTGTAAAGACACAGAGAGGTTGAAAGTTAATGGATGGAAAAAGCTATTTACACAAACTGTGAGCCAAGAAGGTAGGTGTGGCTACATCAAGACCACATAAACAGACTTTAGGGGAAAGAGAGAGGCATTTCATGACGACATCTGTGTTGGCTCACAGGAAGACGTGACAACCATGAATGTGTGGAGGCCTGAGAAAAGGCTCAATATGAGAAGGAAAAATAGGTAAAATTAAAGTGAGAAACAGACAGTTCCAAGATCAGATTGGTGGTTTAACTCCCCTCTCTTAGCAGTTGACAGACCAACCAAAGAAATAGGACATCTGAACAATAATGTGAATCAGGTCGCCCTAACTGTTCTTTCTAGAACATCACACCCAATAACCGCATAGCTCTTATTCTTCTCCAGTGCATGTGGTCTATTCACCATGACAGATGGCATGATGCTCCAAAAGGACTGAAGTCGCACTGAATGTGTTTTCTGACCACTGAAATCAAACTAGAATTAATAACAATAAGATAACTAGGAAAACCACAAATACCTAGAAATGAAATGACACACTTCTGAATAATCCACAGATCAAAGAAGACATCACAAGAGAATTTGGAAAACATTTTAAACAGAATGATAAAGAAATACAACATAATATTTCTGGGATGCAGCTAAAGTAGGGCTTAGAGAGACATTCATAGCTGTGAATGCTTCTGTGAGGGAAAAAGGTCTGCAGGAAGCTGAGATTTCACCTCAACAAGGCAGAAAAATAAAAGATCAAAGCAACTCAAAGTAGCCAGGAAGAAAGAGATGATAAAGGTAGGAGCAGAAATAAATTAAAAAGGAAAACAGAAAGTAGTGAAAATTACCAAGCCAAAAGTTAATTTTCAAAAAAAAAAAATCGATAAAACTATATACACATAGCTATGCTGATCAAGAGCAAAGAGAGAGAGAACATAAATTTCTAGCATCAAGAGGGTTATCAACACTTGTCCCACAGACATTAAAAGAATTACTGTATTATAACTGCCTGTTGACAATTCAGAAACTGATTTGAAATGGATAAATTCCTTGGAAAAAAATACAACTTACCAAAATTGAAGCAAAAAGAATTAGAAATCCGAATACCCTATGTCTCGTAAAAAGACTGACTTCAATAACCACATACATCTAACAGAGAAACTCCAGGCCTGGAGAACATCACTGGTATCTAAGGAAGAGAGGACACTGATCTTATAGAAGCTTTTCCAGAAAATAAGGGAGGAGGGGATACCTCCTGACTCAGTTTACAAAGCCAGCATAAGCTGATACCAAAACTGGACAGAGACATTTGAAAAAGAGTTAATTTATGCCTCTGTGGAAATTAACTAAGGAAACCTTAACTAAATTGGAGTCGGGAAGGCCTGCAGGGGGAGCTGTCCCCCCCATCCCACAATGTAAACGACACCAAACAAGAACAGAGGATGCTCCACCTCTGACAGGAAGTACAACCACTTTACTGTGAAGGAAGATTTCTCTCCCAGCAGCAACAGCCCAGCCAACGAGAAACACCACAGCCCAGCCAATCAGAAATGCCACAGCCCAGCCTATCAGAAATGCCGCAGTCCAGCCAGTGAGAAATGCTGCAGCCCAGCCAATGAGAAACGCCGCAGCCCAGCCAATCAGAAATGCCACAGACCAGCCAATCAGAAATGCCACAGCCCAGCCAATGAGAAATGCTGCAGCCTAGCCAATCAGAAATTCTGCAGCCCAGCCAGTGAGAAATGCTGCAGCCCAGCCAATGAGAAACGCTGCAGCCCAGCCAATCAGAAATGCCACAGCTCAGCCAGTGAGAAGTTGTTGCCACCCTGAACTGTTACCCTCCCCCAGAGGACTTTCCTTTAGGACAGCCCCTCCCTCTCCCCCTTTTCTCTATAAAAGCAGCTCCCTCCTTAGTTCTCTGGGTTTGTCTATGGTTCATCATTGCATGCACATCCTGAATTGTAATTCTTTTGGCTATTCCTGCATAAACTTATTTTGAGGGTAAAATTACAGGTGAGTTTGCTTCTAAAGTTGACACCTTAAATATTCCTCATGAACACAGACACAAACATCTCTAACAATATGTTAGCAAATGAAATCTAAGACTTTATGAAAAGGATAAAACATCACGACCACTTAAGTAAGATTAATCACAGAAATGCAAAGTTAGTTTGTTATTCATAAACATCAGGCCAGTAGTTCTTCATATAAACACAATAAGGAGAAACCATGTGACCATTTGATAGATGCAGTAAAACTATTTGACAAAAGTCAGTACACATTCATCATAAAAAAAGGCAGTAAATTGAATAGACTGAAGTCTCCTCAATCTGCTAAGAAGCATCAACGGAAAATCCACAGTCAGTGTCCTACTTGATGAGACATTGAATGTTCCCCCGAGATCAGGAGCAGGACAAGGATGTCCCTCTCCCCAGTCCTACTAAACATTGTCCTGAAGGCTGCACATTGTAACAGGCAGCAAAGAAATCAAGGCACCCGTGATGAAGAAGTGGATACATTCCGGTTTGCAGACAACATGATCTATTACATGACAAATGCCGTGGAATCTACAAGATAGCTACTAGGATGAATAAGTGAATTTAGGAACATTGCAAGGTTAATACCCAAAAATCACTTATGTTTTTATATTAGAAGGAAAGCATTGGAAAATAAAAAAGCTATTTACAATGACGTAAGACCATAAGCTCAGCGGTTTCTTTCTATCTTTCTTCCTTTGGTGAGGAAGATTGGCCCTGAGCTAACATCTATTGCCCATCTTCTTGTTTTTCTCCCCAAAGCCCTTGCACATAGTTGTATATCCTAGTTGTAAGTCATTCTAGTTTTTCTATGTGGGACGCCACCACAGCATGGCTTGATGAGCAGTGCGTAGGTCTCTGCGCTCAGGATCTGAACCTGCAAACCCCGGACCACTGAAGTGGAGCGCACAAACTTAACCACTTGGCCATGGGGCCAGCCCGATTTTTTATTTTT